CTAAGGAGAAAACAGAGAAATAAAATTGTAAAAATCTATGCTAATTAAGATCAGATATCCAAACACCGTCATGGTCATGATTTCCTTTGTTTAAACTTGATGAATTATTAATGAGTGCGAGAAGTTCTTGTCTGTTGACTGTTTTGCGTCATGTATACATTTGTAAATTGGTTACTTGAGCCATTTTTTCATGCCAGTAAATTCTCATTCTTTCATGCCAATCATTTCAAAGGGATGGTAGAGCATAAACAATGGTGTGACTACAGGCAGATTTTTTTCGTTTCGTGATTCATGTTCGTGGTTGCACTACATGCTCGTGTATCACGCTTTGCTCTCTGCCCTGCTAATCTGCCTGTTCTGCAGGCTACGGGTCATGTAACTAAGTTTCAGGTTAGAAAAGGAGAGAGAGAGTCAAAGGGTGAATTTGGGTATAATAGGGACTTTAAGAAACCACGAAGGCAACGCGGAGGACAGCGTCGCTTAAAAAATGAATTTATATTTTACCTACAAATCTTGTGATACTTTAAAGTCATTTGTTTTGTTTCTTACTGTCAAAACTAGCACAAAGCTAAATCTGAAACCCAGCGATAAATTTGCAATAGAAATTTAAAAAATTAGCCGTTGTGGTTCATGTTTTCGAGACAACACCAAATTTGGTCATTTCATGTTGTTGTTGTTCAGAGGATGGCAAAGAAATGTACCTGGAATTATAATGCACGTGCACAGCCATTGTATTGCTCATTAGATCTTTTGTTTAGTAACGTTCCCGTCACTGTTCCTGTTGTGGTTTTCTTAAACTCCCTTAAATTTAGGTGTCTGGACGTTAGAGAGGGCCTTTGTTGTAAAGCAAAAGAAAATTTTTGTAGGGAAGGTGGCAGTTGAATGATTACTGAATTCCTAAGCATTGTGGAATTTCCAAAGCCAAGAAGGGGGTTTAGATGAAGATGGAAGGGCATGAATATTTTCTTGAATCTGCACCCATTGCATGTATCTTCATTATCCTAAGAATCTGCATTCATTGAGCTTTCAACTGGTGTATTAAACACAGAATTCTGTAACAATATTCAAGATTTCACACATGCCTATGACACTGTCCCTCTATTTAACAATAAATCAGGGGTTTAATTAGGTGCTGGGTTGCAGGCAAATTGACCGGCTGTGAGGATGATTTTGCCAGTCTGGTTTGACCATCTACAGGAAAGGTTTTCTTGTGACGAAGTTCAGTTGAAAGAATTTTGCATGCCTGCGAAACCCAGTTGCCCTCCTGTTGTAAATGTTAATGTAACCCTTGATAACAACAAAATGCATTCATTCATTTGGTAATTTCTTTATTAACACTTAAAAATTTTCACTTGTGAGAGGGTAAATTGCAACACATTTCACAAATCAGTTGATGCCAGAACTTGACAGAGAAGTAAATGTAACCAAATAGATCAATGATTTAAGTGCTGGCACCTCACTTTGAATAATTAATGATCTGTCATATTTTATTTATTAATTGTCACTGTATATGTATTTTCCATCATTGATCACACGCAGAAGCATATCATATGCTTCTGTCACATGTGATACGTGTAGCTGACTACAGTGGATGACCCAACTGTGAAAACTTGCATCAACTTGCATGGAAATTTGATCTTGACCAACGTGAGTGCAGGTCAACGCAAGTGCACCCAAGGCCTGGCCAGTATCTAAATTTTTCTATTTCTTCTTTTGAACAGCTGAAGACAAAATACCTGAGAACAAGACAGGAGTAGGATATCATCCACAAGCTTATTCTAGAATAATGATTTGTTTGTTTTTTGCAATCCAGGACCAGGTAAACACTTGTGTTCTTATGCAATGATCAAATCAAAACTTAACCTGGTTTCTTCAGGGGAATCCCCCAAGGGCATCCCTACAGGGTAGCCAAGTCATCAAATTCTACGGCAGAAAAAAAGGAGTAAAAATGCACCAATTTTTTTTCCTGTTTTAACTGATGCACTATTATTATAAGATCCAAAATAGTCAGGGAAATTTTCGTTTTTCAAAATCAGGGAAATTTCAGGGAATAGATGGAGAAAATGGGAAGTTTCCCTTTTGTACTGTACCTTTAAAAAAAAAAATAACTAGACGAAACTACTGAACTAACTCCATTCAAATTAAAACCTGCAGTGCAACACACTCTCATTAAGTGACCACCAAACTAAGACCAGACACTACTCAACTTATACCCCTACAGTAGTCACTACAGTATTTCTTGACCTCAACAGAACTCACATGATGTTCTTGAACCAGTCTCAACACAAACTTCACCAAAAGTAAACCAGTTGAATCAGACCATAACTGATCAGT